AGGTATCTGGCTTTCTTCCAAGCTATGGTCAAGGTTAGGCCATAATCAGACACGCCTGCATGGTCCAATGCACCGACTGACTCATACCAGCCACCACATTAACAAAAGACCTCCACTTCCTGCGATCCTTATTGAATAAAAAAAAAACATCAGGGAATGGAAGCGCTAACCTGAGACAAAGACAAACAGATGAAAACCATGGGGGGCGTGAAAAGTGGTCCCATCAGTGAAGCATTGAGTAGGGAACTACAGAGTATGACATCCAGGTAAACATGAGCAAATGAGGATGAGTATAATCTGTTCCCCTTTCACCATAAATTAAACCATCATCAATTTGTGAAATTATCTGAAAAGGATGTTTATTTCCAAAGAACGTGCTGTCCTGAATGTGCTACAAAATATACACAGGATCTTGTAAAATTTACGAACCCAACTTGCCCAATTTGAAACAATGGCACAGATGAGCTCAACTTGAACGTGATAATTCATCCCACCTGAACTTTTTTTCTCTCTCCATGTCTCGGCCATTAGAGTGTTCATGCATGCACTCTTGAACCTGACACATGGCACATACATGTACAATACACACTGGAATTATGTGTACAAAATTTTCCACACGGAACGCACCTCTTGAAACACTGTTACATGGGTTAAAAATTGATCAGTGGACTCAGATGCACACCAGAAACATATTATCAGTGCGGTGGTCAAAAACTGAAGATGGGTTTGGTTAAGCAAAAACCTGTCAGTTTGTTAATGCACACACGCAGAGGGTTTTGGGGGCTAACTATACTGGCCAAGTGCATACAATTAGTACAGTACTCTGCTTACATAAATGAAGGTGCATGTAACATCGGCACTAATACATTGGATTATCGTGTGCATTTACACAGAATGACTTGTTAATTGCCCACATCAATGAGCGTTATATTATATGCAAGGGGGAGATTCCGGGTGTCATGATTTATATGAAATGGTAAAGTACAACATTCCTATTCTACTATTCTGCTTTATAAAATTGCAGACTAACCAACTTCACCGCGCTTACATCATTTCTAATTTAAAATATTCCATAGATTTACGGAGTTGTGTGAAACCTTATCAAAACGGTTTCACACAAGCAGAACATGTACTGAGTGTATTTGTACCAAAAGGTACACCCACTGTACGGTGCTCTGTCCTTGTTTGCTCATGTCCCATCCTCTTCCGGATTAATGATGTCCAGAGTCAAAGACTATATGTAAAGGGAGTATGCAACGACGACCAGTGTTCACAAATATGTCCCAAAAGAAGGCCCCATTGGTGAACTCAAACCGGAAGGTCTCCCAGCTGGATTCGCAGTCCATTTGTCTACGTACTCCCAGAGGTTTGGATTTAACTCTCAACATTTGGTTGCATGTACATGTACCACACGCTACCAGGTTTACATACATGTACATGTACTCAGTACCCCGGTATGTATGTGGCATGATGCCACAGCTCATGTTCACATCAATGAAATGACTCCATGTAACACAAAAATATGCATTTTGAGTACAAGAGGGCTTCATCATGCTTGAGGTACCGGTAACCCATGTAAAATTCACTGTTGCTATCAATACCAGCAATTTGAGGAGTTTTAAGAAACATCAAGTGACCACAGACACATCAATGTTTTTATACACTCACGCGTATATACTCCGGTGCCGTTTTTCATTTCTTAAGATCATGCAAGGGTGTCAAATGCTTCTACGTGTACATGTATATGGAATTGGAAATCCTTGGCTTAATGTACATGTACATGCTCCAGCATGGGCCTGTGACAAGTTTGAATAATTAACAGTTGCAACATTGCAAATTGGATGCATAATGCATGAAGGGATACATGAGGTTCTGCCTGTAACCTTAGGGATATATTGGTGTCACCTGCTACATGGCTCAGAGACATGCCTGATCCAACAAGGAAAAAAGCACACCACCTTGGTATAAATTCAATCAAAATTTCCTTTTCACTTGACTTCTCAACCCCTCACACATCTTCACCAGCCAGGGCGTGTGGAAGTTTTGTCTGGTTTCCATGCATAAGCAGCATACCTTCCAGAGGTCCAACTTACCAAGATTTGAAAGGAGGACCAGAGACCTTTAAGAAGGGCATCCCTCGCACTGTTTATCAGTGACAGTAAGTAGTTGCAGAATGACAGAGACTACAGTTGCACAATACTTAACCCTAAAAAACCGGGGAGGGGCTGCATCAGTCCCCCAAACTCTTTCCAATATCTTTGCAGTGCTTTTTTTTTCAAGAGCAGAGCTCTTAACAGTTTTTTCAGTAACTCTTTGCATCAGAATCACTTCTGTGAAAATTGAACATACATGTACATACACACGTACAGTTACAGGGCAGCCCTAAGACAGGTGAGCCGAGAATGTACATTTTTCCAATGCCATGGTCAATGCACACAGGCTGGCACATACATGTACGTAGCCTTGACCTTCAAATGACCCTAACAACAAAACCTTCCGTTGAATTAATTTGAAACTTCACATTTGAACTGATTGAGAAGTGTCTTTACATGGATGCCAAAGTGTTTAAACATCAGGCATGGGACAACCAAGGTCCGGGGAGGGGGAGTGGAATATCTCCCCCTCCCAGCTGTGAGATAGTCCAAAATAATCCGGCTCTAGGGTTAATGCATCAGTGCAGGATGTGCATTTCTACACGTACCCAGTACACGGAGCTTTATTGTCTGTACATGTACGTACCGGTACATATATGCAACTCAGTCACAATCAGAAGATGCAAAACCTGAATAATATTATGTAAATACCACATTACCTTTACGAAAGTGCATGACAGCGTACACTGACAAAATCCTTATCAAACTTACACGAATGTTTGTCAAGGGCTGAGTCAATTCGAATAATTCGCTTTTCGAATATTTGACCTAATATCCGAATATTCAGTCATACCGACCGGAAGATTGTTGAGGAACAAACCATGTGTGACACGTCACGACAAAATGAGAGTCAAGTCGCATCCCGCTCTTTCCTATTTTGAGGGTTCAAAGTCATATTGAAGTGGATGTCAAGTTGGATGTCAGTCTTCTGATGGAGTACACACAAAGTTTGAACGTCATGTTTATGTATGTGTATGACAGTCTCCTGGCGACGAACAGAGCACACTCTCCGAAATGTTGAGTACCACCGGTTCTTTTCAGAACTACAAATACTCAAAAGAGAGATATATCCATGGTGCTACTGCAAACCTATCTAGTTTACATGCAAGTACGCATACAAGTTGATAAATCAAAAATCATCATGAAAAATATTATCCAACTTGATTTTCTCCAGTGTTTTAATTACGGCAGGATAATTGGGGAAAAAATGCCTCGGCACATCGACTAAGCAAGTGTCACATGTGCATACTAGTGCTTCACAATTTGAACTCTGTCCCATCTTGTTATCAAAGTACGTGTCACATTCAATCACCACTTCCTTAACCCCTTTGTTCCCAGATCCCAATTATTTTTGGTGTTTTTCCTTTGTTTTGGTTTTCCTTCACCAGAGGATCTTTCCTGTTGTTGGTCAAGCCAGCAGATTTATTACCCATTTCCTCCTTGAATTGTGGCAAAGATACTCTGTGAGTTGGGTGAGGAAACTGCAATACACATTATAATTTGTACTGCATTGTACATGTACAAGAATGGTGTACATACATGTACATTGTACAGCGTATGTACGAACTCAGAAGGGTTTAGATGATTTTGTTATTACAGGTTACTTTTCAACAGAAGATATAGACTTTATAAAGGAATATAGTTCTAACTACGGTACATGAGTAAAATGTGTCCACCAGGATCCCTGTGTATACATGTATGTACATGTGTGTCCGTCGGTGGGGTATGCAGTTGAAGTTTGTAACTGCAACATAATAAATCCTTTCTGTTTGTTGATGAGGTTTTGAAAAGAACTAGGAATCTGAATATTTTGGGCAGTATCCTCTGCTTATCAACAGTAAGCTCCGCCCGTTTTCAGAGCCTGACTCACAAATGATATTAGTGAACTCATACAACTGCAAACATGCGTGTTTTCCATATCAAGCAGACTTTCAAATCGTATCACAATATGCACCAAATGCTGAGCAGGTTTTCAGTTTCCAATCAAGCCAAACATTTTGGGTTTTCCCAAGAAGTTCTCCTGGCTTTGTCCTGTCACTTCTGAAACTGAAATTTCCTTTTCATCTGCGTCTTTCCTCTACCTCATACTCTTTCTTGTAATGGAATTTTCACTAGAACTGGACAGGCTGAAGTTTTGAGAACAGACGTAAAAACAGTGTAGAAGAGCTCACACTGTTTTATTGAGTATTAGTTCTGTTTTGTATCAGTTTTAAAATGTACACATTCTCTCAATGTACAGTTTACATATTCCAAGAGGACAACTTATCAAACTTGTTTTTACCACCAAACTTCGTTCTACATGTATGATGGTCCAGGCATCAAACTGCAGGTTTTCAAAAGAGCGAGCAGAGGTAAGAAATGTTTAATGGTTAACTGGTTGGTTGGATCATTAATGTCAGTTATGAAGGGGTTTTATGCAAATGAGCATGATTAATATGCAAGGTAATGGGGTAGGTGACTGGATGGAGGGGACATGCACACGATATGCACTCAACATAACCATGCCAAAAGCACTGTTCCACATACTCAATGATCACTGAATGACACCACTTTCCATCAATTCCCAACAAGTTCTTAGACAACTTCCACGAAGACAATAAAATAGTCTCTCCCCCCACTCTCCTGATCGGCCACGATACACAACGATATATGGCCCACAAAAAAATGAAGAAATAAATTGTGAGACCAAGGTAACGACCGCAACAACAACAAAACTAACGCAAAGACACGGTGCCCAATCAGCCAAATCCATCGAGCTCAACATCAACCAATCAAGGAACAAAAAAAATGGCCCGGAAACACAGTGCAGGTTTCTGGGCATGCTCAAGGTGTGTGCGTGTACGATACCTGACCGACTATTGTTTCTTCTGTGCGACCAATCGCCTCGAGCCACCGCTCTCGCAGTACGGTGGGGCGCTTGGGCACGCGATAAAAATGCCGCGGGTCCTCAGTTCCCTTGTAGCGTGAACGAAACTTGCAATTAGGAAAACCACATGTTGTCGGCATGACTTGATGACAAGGCCTACCTGCATGCAATGAAACAAAAACAACAGAGGGGAGAAGAGAAAAAGACAATTACTCAACTGTCGAGCACGGTCACAACACTGGGCACTGAATACAAAGATGGGTAAAGGGAATAATGACTCAGGCCATGACATCATGGATATAGACCAGGGGTGCAAGGTCACATATCAGAATGGCTGAGATTTGACCCCTCCGATCTCCAGCTCAACATAGCATGCTACTGATGAGCTTTGAAGCTTTTCATGGTGGAGGTGACAAGTTACCAGTAAGTAGAGAGGTTTGCAAGTAGCACCATGCAAGGATATCTCTTTCATGAGTATGTGTGGTTCTGAAAAGAACTGGGGGGTACTCAACATTTTGGACAGTAATGGTATGCTCTGTCTGTCCTTTGGAGACTGCAGAGGTTCCAATGACAACAGCATGCTTCCCTCTGACGTGTACATGTACAGTAGTCATGCCACCATGTTATAAGTTTTACGATCGCTATCAAAGCAGGTCTACTTGTAAATATCACGGACCCTCTACTCATTATGTACTGTGCATGCACCGGTCCCATGACCTCTTGATCAGAACAGATTACAATGCACAATCTACACTGGATAATTTAACTACATGTATGCAGGTCAGTTCATATTCAAAGCTGACTGCAGTTCTTTCAGTCCCCGCCCCCCCTACAAAAACCACTTTCCAGACTAATTCTGGAAAAGTACCAGAACAGAACTCTACTATACTGTACATACATGCAATACAGTAGGATTTGGTATAAAAAAAGGCAAGAAGAAACTTTTTATTTATTCACATTTTGGGAAGGTCCATCAATGTCAGTTGGTATCTGATATTATTGCACAGGCAAGGAAGAAACAGATCCCCTTCCCAATTAGAACAATCCCACCTGTGCTCACTGGAATTCAATGATTCTTCAAGAAAAACCAAAACAAACAGTTTCAATGTACACACATGCAAAAATGGTGCATATCAACTGAAAAAGGAAATCAGCCGAGTCCTAAAGCAGGATTCGAACCAAGTAACTTCACAAAAACAGGGGCAGCAGCATTACCCACCAACTTGAAGAGTAACCTAAACTATTACTCCTCACCTAGGGCTCAATCAAATAATTACCAGAGGGAGTATCACTCCTCCCAAGGACAAGTACATGGGGGGGAGAAACAGTGAAAAAAACCAGGATTTTAAGTGATACCAAGAAGTCTGAGACTGACTGTATTCTGACCTGTCCCATACCTACTCCAAGGCATGGGACAAAAAAGGGTTTCATTCAGCCAGTCTTTCTGTATCAGCCTTACGCCTGCATACACCTGAGTCACAACAGCATAAAGAACCCAGAACCAAGATCAACACACAAGACAAGAAGTGAAACCCAGGGCCCAAAGCTCCCCGCCTCAGATAACCAGGCCAAGAGAAGGCAAAACATCTCGGAGAAAACCTGATACTGCGAGATAGGGATGGCTCATAAAAACGCTGGATATTAAAAAAAAGATGGTAGATTTGTTGGCGATCCTTTTCTTACTCGGCAGTACTATGCAGGCATTGTTTACGGGTGCATACAACACTATCAATACTTCTTTTGATGGCCGCACGTTTTTCCCTTGGTAGACCCTAACCAGAGCGGCACTAACACACCAGCCGGATGGAGAAAATAAAAATCTATTGAAATCTCATTAGGGTATGGGCGAGTAGGTCCAAGCCACGGCTGCTATATTCAGTGTCACAGCCAACCCCCCCCCTCCCATCGGCCACAAACACAAGCAGTAGTTACACTCATCTATGACAGGTTTTAGCAATGCTGGCCACCGGTAGGAAGGCCAGGATTATTCTACATGCCACTGGAGTTCCTTTTATGAAGCCAATCTCTAGCCCCTTCCCCTCCCCCCCAGGAGTAGAGTGACAGTGGAAGCATCCAGGGTATACAATACAATACTGCTTTTGCTGTGCCACAAGTGAATGATTTTTTTTTTATTCAATGTTATGTTTCAACCTGCCAAAAATCAATGACAACTTTTGCAGCTGGTAATTTAAGAACCAGATTGCACTATTGTTTTTAATGGTTTTGAATGTAATGCATAAACGCATAACCTGATCGTGCCATACTGATAAAATTAAAAACACTGCAAAAACCAAATTATCTATACTCTGGGAGGAACCCGCTTGACTCTTCCACTCTTGGCAAAGGAACTTTCTCATGTCCTCTGATACAGCGTCCATGTACTATACTGAGCAAGTAAATTCCATGTCAAACGTCATGCAACGTGAAGGTGACTGGATCCTGCTCTGGCCTAATGTACCAGTGTTGTTATATTCTATAAAACTGTGCCAAGCCAAGTATTGAACGTTAAACAAAAGGGGTGGATGAACCAGCCTCACTTATGGGCATGGGGCTTTCCATCCTCGCTGTGAAGAACATCCAAGTTCATGCAGACATTTGGAAGTTTGTTCTGCTCTCCACAAAAACTTTCGAGATACATGTACATGTAAACTCCCAAAGGCTGTCAACCCAGAAATCAATATATCGCCCTATATTTCTGGGTCAGGCACACAATGTTACAGTTTGGGTTTCCTGAGACAAAAAAAAAGGACACAGAAGAAACATGTCACCCACAGGTGCGTACATGTACTTGTTCATACACACATACAGGTACATATATAGGGGTATAATGAAGTCAGCTTCCAACCTACCTGTACATGTACTGTACATGTACATGTACAATGGAACAACTGCATGCACACAGTTGAACTCGGTCAAGCATACAGAGCAATGATCCACTTTTTAATGCACTGCAAAGTTCCGGCACAGTGTACTCGCACAGAGCGCTTGTACCGTACATGTACTGTGTGCACATATCAAGGTAGCACCAGAATGTACATAAACACATGTACTGTACTGTACCATGCATGTACATTTACAGCACTGTACAAGTCTACATGTACAAGTACCGGTACATGTAAAACGACTATTTACATACATACATTAATAAATGCATAAATTTACATAAGGTTATTTGCCCCATATCAACCTGTTCTGCATGTACATGTATGTACTCACTAGTGTAGTTCCACAATTTAAATCCAGCATTACAGCTCAGATTGGCTCATTCTGATGCCTGCTTTACACAAATACAGGCTGCACACATTAAAAGAACACACACATGACTGCATGTTCCGTGTACATGCAGATAAATATAAAGCACTCTCAACAGTTCGTTGTAAAACAGAAACCAGTGCCTCCGAGGAACAAATATTTTTCCAGGAATGAAAGTTGCAAAACTTACACCAACATGTGCGTAACCAGTACAGCATACATGTACTCTCATGCTTCGTCAATCTGTGGTTTTTTTTTTTGAATCAACATTGTTTGAAACCAGAGTACCAAGACTCATGCTGGGTTTGGGGTAGAGAGGTCAGTATTTCCAGTGGGGAGTATTCCAAATCTCCCATGTTTCCTTCCTGGTAAATCAGGCACTTCCACGGGGTAGATATCTAAGCAGAAATGGAAGGGGCACGGGTGTAGGGACCTCAGCCTTTGAAAAGAAGACTGGAACACGGAGCCTATGTATTCGTATGCTACATGTATTGTATCTCAAACTGTGTATCGTGTACCGTACAAGTATGGTACATTCAATGGTTCAAAAATGGTTCAGAAAGACTGTTCTCATCAAAGTATACTTGAATATAAAATAAAAGATATGTTAGAATTGAGGACACAAGTAATCCTTTCTACTAACCCTTTCTACAGGCATCATGATTATACATGTATCTACACGTAAATATATGTACAAGTGTGTAAGCATTAATCATCTTTCTACTAAGCTAAATCCAACTAACCTGAACAGCAATCTAACAAGGAAGTAAAAGCTTCAGCAAACACAATGAAGACAAGGACCCACTTTTTCTTTTCACATGGCCACAGCAGGATGCATTTTTGCCCTAACTGACCCACATCACACAGGTCAGAAAGTGCTTCCCCATCTCACTCTTTCCCTTCTGCCCCCTTTCATCTCTGCCTGGAGTGCCAGGAATGCGTTCCACCAGCTCCACTCTTCCAGTGTCCACCGCTAAATAAACCCAGTTAATATTTCATTCATTCCGCTGAGCCAAACGAATAGCCAACCGTCGCTCATGGGTATTAGAACCAGCTCAGCGGGACAGGAACAATATGCAATCTGTCAAGTCCGAAAAGAAATTGATCAAATAAAAAAAGCACAAAATAATATATACACTACATTTGAGAACTGATTAGTAACAAAGAGGGTATTTGTGGCGACACATGTACATGTACGATGTATACAGATTCTGTTTGTTGGGAGGACGGGGGTAATCACAAAATGGATTTTCATGCACCAGTTGTACCGGTACAAGCAGAAATGTACTCAGTTTAGAAGGGAAATGGATCTACAGGGTGCCTGAAGCTTAATGACATCATTATTTGTGTTTCCACCAAAAAAGGCCTAAGATCTCAACTCTCCCGGGAAACACCTGAAGTTCAAGGGAGTGTGAACAACTTACATTGAAAAAAAAAATCCAGACTTTTTAATGCACAAAAATTAAAGAAAACCCCAACTTCATTCCTAATACTGCATGCTGGGAGATTTGCACAATGCCAGTACAGGAAAGGAGATCTGCAGAGAACTTAACATTTCAGTTACGGTACATGTTACAATCATAATGCTACCGTACATACATGTACCGTGTACCATATATGTGTCACAGGTACATGTTCATGTACATTTATGAAGAATTCCCTCCATCATAGCAAAATGAAGTAAATGGTTATCTCTCCAGACAATGGAAATTGGAGTACATGCACCTGGTACATGGAATTTCCTCCCCCATAGCAAAACTAAAGCTCGTGGAACCCCCTCCCAGATATCAAATTGAAATACATAAGGTCACAGGCCAAAGCCCAAAGATACATGTACAATGTGCCATAGTGTACCACAGTGTACCACTGTACATGTACATTACCTCTACTGTTTACATGCACTGACCC